GTACAACAACAACACCATAAATGGAGAACTTTTTTTTTTTTTTCTGCGGTATGCGAGCCTCTCACTGTTGTGGCCTCTCCCGTTGCGGAGCACAGGCTCCGGACGCGCAGGCTCAGCGGCCATGACTCACGGGCCCAGCCGCTCCGTGGCACATGGGATCTTCCCGGACTTGGGTACGAACCCTCACGGCAGGCAGACTCTCAACCACTGCGCCACCTGGGAAGCCCCCCATTAACGGAGAATATATCGTTCTTAACCTTAGAGTATAAGCTTCATGAGGGCAAGACCTATCTGCAGCACCATGTGTGGAGCATGGTAAGTACATTTACTAGTTATCTGTTGCTGTGTAACAAATTACACCAAATCTTAGCAGCTTAAAATAACAAACATTTGTTTCACACAGTTTCTGAGAGTTCGGAATCCAGGAGCAGCTTAGTTGAGTGGTCCTGGTTCCTGGTCTATCAGGAGGTTGCACTTAGGGGATTGGCTGGTTCTACAGTCATTTGAAGGCGTGACTGAGACTGGAGGGTTGGCTTCCAAGGTTACTCACTCACATAGCTATGGGGAAGACTGTCGTGTGGGTCTCTCTATTGGGTTGCTCAACACGGCAGCTGGTTTCTCCAAAGTGAGTGACCCCCAAAACAAAGATAGACGTTGATTACACAGACAAACCAGTACATAGTGAATATTTATTGATTGAACAGATGTGTGCCTGACACTATGCTAAGCGTTTTACTAACACCATCTTATTTAATCCTGATAACAACCCGTGGACCATTGTCCTCATTTGTGCTGATAAAACCGAGGCTTATAAAAGTGAAGCAACCTGTTCAACAAAGCTATTAGGTGGCAGAGCCAGAGTTGAAAGTCAGACCTCTCTAGCCCCAATGGATGTGAAAAATGGTTCACACTGAAAATGAATTGCATTATTCCAAAAAAATTAGATTTCTATGGTCGTTTAAATTTTGTTTGAGTCCAAATCATATACATATGGGGAAAGAAACTAGAAATTATATCGATAGGGAAACCCTCAAACTCTTCAGGAGGATAAAGAATTGCTTCCCCAATTCTCCACTTGGCAAAGTGTTTTCATTTCTTCTCTCTTACCAGACTAATGTTTCAGATTCTCGGCAAATCTTTGGAAATGAGGAAAGTCAAGAATTCTGCCACTGACTTTCCAAAGAGCCAAGACAAGCCGGTCATTCAGTGTACATATGGAACTATGGTAGTTGTAGGGGTCTACAGAGCAAGTGAGAGAGTACCTGATGTCCAAAAGGTCACAGTCTTTTGGGGATTAAGGTGATACAAAAATAATCTAACACAGGGAAGTATAAGTGCCATGGAGAGGCACACAGGGAATGCTTCTTGAGGTTTGAATTTTTAAAAAGATCAGCCACATTTTAAAGACACATTTGGTGTTTATTATAATAATCTAGTGTGATAATCTCTGGAAGTCAATAGAAGATTAAGATGGGGGGCCAGGCCTTCTTTATTTTTATTATTATTTTTAAGCAGTTGGAAAACTTACAAGGCCAGTGACTTGCTTACCATTCCAGACCCAGGCTCTCAGGCAGGAACCACAGTCTCCCACTAAAGGTGGCACAAAGTGGGTTTCTGGAATGCAAGAATGAAGGAAGAGTGACTAAGGTTCAAAGTCCGGGTAACCTCCCTTGAGAATGTAGGAATCAAGCCAGGACAAGGTGGAGTGGGTAGGGCAGTGGAGTTTAGGGATTGATTTGAATTAGAGTTAAGGTGATAATGCCAGGGTAGAAGCAGACAAGGCAATGGTACTTGGACCTATCCTCACTGACTGGGAAGTAAAAAGCTGTCCTAGTAGAGTTGAAATGATGAAATGTTCCCCTCCCCACTCACCCCAGGAAAACTGTCTGGTGCACGGTTGGAACTGAGACCACATATGCCTTGCAAAAACTAGTTTTGGACCCAGATTTGCTTTGGCCGTGGAGCGCACTCAGCTTTCAGTCTTCTGCAGAAATGCGGATTCCGTGGCTCCAGATTTTAGCAGTTTGGGGGCAGTAGTGGGCGTGGAAAAGCCTGGGTGGTGTCTACTCAGAGGTCACAGGCCCAGTTCACTTGAAGCAGAAGGTGTGAGGACTAGGGAGGGGGCCAGGTGAGGAGTCAGAGTAGACCCCCAAAAAACAATCCATAAACGTGATTGGTTTTCACCTGGTCAGCAACCCTTTGCGAAGGAGCCAGTTTGGTTATTTGGAGATAGGAAGAGGGTCAGTTCAGGGTTCTGGTCCTAGTCCCTTGATACGCATCAGGGGCAAGGGAATGGTCATTATCACCCAGTGGTGAGCCTCCTGGGTCCTCCCCAGCTACTCCTTGGGCTGCAGTCTACTGTTTGCAAGAGACTGGGTGTTGGTGCAGAAACGCAGGAGCCAGATGGAGGATGCTCAGCCGGCAGCCCCCACGAGACCTGCCCCACCTCTCCCGCTCCTCCCTCCTCACCTGTCCAGGCTAGTCGCCAGGGACCAACATCTGGCCAGGCTGGAACGGGCTCAGAAACTAATCTTTGCCAGCTCGTTTTTGTATGTGGGCTCCTGATGGGGTGCATCCACATCTGTGAGAATCTCGTAGACTCTCTGACGCCTATGTTGGTGGTTTGCGGAGAGGGATCTCCTATTACTGTGTACAGAGACGATGATTACTGAGAATGCTACACAGCCTGCAGGCGGTGCCCGAGGACCAGGGGCAGGGCAGGGGCCGGGGTGCCGTGCGGGGCCGGGGGCGGCCCGCTCACTTCGGGGGGTGTTGGAGCAGCGCGCACGCAAGTGGCCAAGAAAGCCGCAGCCAGGGCGGCGGAGACACCTCAAAACCACACGGAACCTTGGGGCTCCGGCCGCCCACGGCGCGCAAGGTACGCTTCGGGGCGGTCCCGCCTGACCCCGGAAGGGAAAGTGGTTTTGGGGAAGGGGAGCGAGGAGAGCGAGTTAAGTAAAAGTAAAAAACAAAGTTATTCTGCTCCCCCCGGGCTGCCTCGCCCCTGCCTCTTCTTTGCCCCGGGCTCCTTCAGAGGGGCTCCCTCTGATGCCGCGACACTCCCTGGGTCCCAGCCTGAGTAGAGGGACCGCTAGCGTCTGACCGCTGCTACCCCGACCCTCCGGATCCAGGTCGCCGCGAAAACCCGGAGCGGAGCATCTCTCGGGCGGGAGCCGCCCTGGGCGCGAGCCCACTGGCGCGCATGCTCAGTCGCGCGGCGGCGGCGAGTAGGAAGCTCAGCGCGGCGGTGGCGGCTGCGGTGCGGCCGGAGGGTGGGAGGGGCGCAGCGGCGGGCGGGCGGGGGCGCGGGGCCGGGGGGGGGGGGCTCTCGCCCGAGGTTCCTGGGCGCTTTTGGGAGCGTGGAGCCCGGTGCGAGGTGCGAGCGAGCACGGGGGCCAACGAGCGCGGGGTGGGCGGCGGGCGGAGCGCAGCCGCCGGGCGGGCGGAGCGGGCGGGGAGCCTAGGTCTCCGCGGCTCGGGACCCGGCGGCGGGCGGCGATGTTCCACTGCATCCCCCTGTGGCGGTGCAACCGTCATGTGGAGACCATCGACAAGCGCCACTGCTCGCTGGTCTACGTCCCCGAGGAGATCTACCGCTACGCCCGCAGCCTGGAGGAGCTGCTGCTGGACGCCAACCAGCTCCGCGAGCTGCCGGAGGTGAGTGTCCAGCCTCACCTGCGCGCCGCCCTGGGGGAGCGCGGCCGGGCCCCGCCAGCCTCGCGCCCTCCCCTTCCCCCCACCCCGTCCCCTCCTCTCCCCTCCCCTCCCCTCTCGCCCCCTCTTCCACCTCGGGACCCGGCAGGCAGGTCCCGCGGAAACCACGTCTACGTTCATTCACCTGCTTCTTCCTCCCACACTCCTCCTCCTCCCCTCCCCTCCCCCTCCCGAAAAGTTCCTTTTCTTTGTATACAAAGCGACTTGCTGTTTTCTGAGTAGTCGTTGTAGCTTGTGCAGTTGGGAAAACGTTCTGTGCCGATAAGTAGTTTATATACATATCTAGGTACTAGTGCCCGGCACTTGTGACCGGGCAGGTGAGGAGCCAGGTGGCCGGGGCCGTTCCCGGCTGGAAGGACCGAGCGCGGCATCCGGCTCCCGGGGCGGTCTCCTTGTCTCGCATTCCCCGATCGCTGGCCGGGGCGCCTTTTCCCTTCGGCCTGGACTGGGCCGGGAGGAGGTGGGCAGCGCGCGCGAGAGCCGCGCTATCTCGGCATCTTCCGAAGAATGTGCTCCGGGCCTTATCGCGGGTGGGCCGTGCCGGGAAGAGCCGTAGCTGCCCGGGCTCCGGGACCGGCCGTGGGGGGCGGGGCAGGAGGGGGGCTGCGCGCGCGGAGCTGTGGGCAAGTGCCCTGGTGCCCTGCCTGCGTGGACCTGTTGCGTGGAAGGAGCCGCGGTGAACGTCAGCAGAGGCTCTGCCGTGTGGGCCAGCCTTGCAGCCGCCGCTCCCAGAGCGGCCAGGTTCAGCCCGCTGACTTCTGCCCTTGCAGCGATGAGTTACCTCTTCAGAGTTGTTTATGTAAATTAATCACCCTGCCGCGGCCAGGCTTGTCAAGCGACACATGCTGATTGTGCTTTAATGGAGGGTCAGGGACTGCGAACTTTTACCCTTCGAGCTTGCCCGGAAAACTTAGCTTGAGTAAGCCTGAAAGCCTGAAGGAGGAAGGTAGCCCAAATCCAGGGCTGTGCAGGAAGTCGGGGCAGTTAATCCGAAGGTGTGCAGGAAGTAGGGAGGCTGCTGGCAGGCGAGAGAGGACCTGAAGGCCCGAGCGTTGGAACTCAGATGTCTTGCAGGACCCTTTGTTAACACAAAGCCAAGACATGGTCACAGAAACACTCACCAGTCAAATGTTCTGGCATGTTAGAATGACCCGATTTGTCCTCCAGCCCGATAGAGTGTTTTAAACAGCAGAACTGTGTTTTTCTCAACATTTCAAGTGTTGTTATTCTTCTTGGATTAACTTTCCTTGGTCTGTGTAGAATTCATTGGATGGTTTGCTGTGTGCAGTGGGTGTGTGTGTGTGATTATCCTCACTAGGATCTTTGCAAAGCCCCCCAGGCTTTATTTAGCTTAGAAGCAGAAAAGCCATCCAGTTCCCTCCGGCATTATTATTTTGCGGGCATTTTCAAACACATGGTTTTGTCTGGCCTTTAGCTTCCTTAAATTTGACTTAAAAGTCATGAGTTCACTTACTGCCTTAAGTTATAATAAGTTTTAGGCATTGCTACTGCCAGGAATATAGAATACTGTATGTAATTTAATACTTTTCAAGGGCTTCAGAATAAAGTTGTTAAAGCTTGAGTGAAAAGCTGTTGGACTAGAAATGTTTCAGTGCTCTTTGTGGTGTTTTTGTTTGTTTGTTTTCTTTTGTAGAGCTGGAAGGTTTCCTGTGACTGGATTGGCTTTTCACTCCCTTCTGCAAAGTTTGTGGGTTTTTCTGTAATGTTGGGGGATTCAGCTTGGTATGGGAAATTATGGGGTTTGGATGTGTCAGGTATTTCTACTGATTCTAAATGGAAACTTCTCAGAAGCTCAAAATACAGTCTGATAGCCCTCAGTAAATACGGTAATAAACAAGCTTTTCAAAGGCTAGAAGTGGTCTGGCATATGGGTAATTGCTCTTACAGCTCTTAAAGTAGTTTCATAGTTTTCAAGTTGTGTAAAATCTGTTTCTCCCTGACTTTTCGTGTGCCTGGGTGTGTACAAGCCAGACTCCAGCAACCGCCTTCAAAACACGGATGTTTCATTCACAGTCTTTGCTTGGGCATCCGTTGTCTCCCGTCTGAGGTCTGCATAACTCATTACCGCTGCTCACTGCAGTCCTGGCCCCCTCCCCCAGCCCGTCTTCTTACCTGCCACGTCACCAGTGGGCCTTTTCTTCGGACAAACCTCCAAGGTCCTCGTGGTGGTGGCCATACCTGTATTATGTTCTCGTCTCTGCGATTCATTTGCAGCCAAAGGGGAAGCCTGCATCCCCCAACCCCAATAGCAAAAGTACACATGCTCCCCAGCCTTCAGCACTGAGAAAAGCATCTTCTCTCCCTGAAAGTCTGCAGCCTCTGATTTGCTCCAATCCCCTTGTTTTCCAAATTGAGACTCAGGATTGAAGTGACTTTCAGGGCTGTACAGCTGGTGTGATACAGTCGCTATGGCCAGCTCCCCCCCGCCCCCCACCCCACAGCTCTCCCCTTTCATGTATCTGCCAACTGAGCGGGAATCTGGACTATTGGGTTTCTCACCTCCATCAGAAGAACCTCAGTTATTTAGCCCCTCCTTGTTTACTCCTGTCATGAAAGCTTGACCTCAGTAGAGCCTTTATTGACCCTCCAGGATTTGCTAGTTGTGGGGGATACAGAGATTAAAGAAGGTTTAATCAGCAGCTTTGTGGGGAGACAGTGAGTTTAGTACAGGTGTGGTGGGTGTGGTTGGAGCGGGCGCTGCAGTTATCAGATGCCGCAGTGGTTACTGACCTAATCTGCCGACCTTTTGCTGAACCCGCACCACCGTCCTCAGCAGTGTCTCCACCCTGTGAGCCTCTCATGGCTGCAGGGGACTAGAGCCCTCACCTTTGGCCTCACTACCCCTTCCCATCCTCCAGCTGGTCCCCTCCCCCAGCCCCATCCCTTTGGGGTGTATGTTAACAGAGACACCTCGAGGTGCCCCCTTGGGAGCACGAGCTCGGCGTCCAGTGGGTCCTGCTGGGTAAACCCCTGTTTATCTGTTGAATGAAGGCTGCTGAGTCTGATGCGGATCTTTCTCCTCTGCTGCTTTCTTGTCCCCTGAAGCTCATCACTGCTCCAGCATCTGTCCTTCTCTAATGGAGTCAGAGAATATCCAGGTCTGCAGAAGTGAAGGTCATCCACGTGGTGCGGTTGTTTTGTCTTCCTCTCCTGCCTTCCTCTCTGTGTTCCTGATGACATCAGTTTTCCCCTCAATCTGTGCACGATGCTCAGATACCTTCAAACATGTGTTTACTGTGGTCTCTCTAGACCACTGCAGGGCCCGGTCTACTAGGCAGCAGACACTTGGAGTGAACACTCTCAAGCCTCTCTAGGTTAAAAAGTTGAGTTTCATCCTGTCACCTCCTCTTAGAGTTCAGTCAGTCCTTCCGTGATCGCCAGATGACATTATCTCAGATACCTGCCCCTGCCCTTCCTTCTTTCTCGTATCCTGCTTTATTTTTTCCCCTAGCCCTTAGAACATTCATCACCCCCTGATTCCAGACTGTGTCCTTGCTTGCTCGTTCTTTGTCTCCTCAGCCAGAACTTAAGCTCCGTGCCAGCAAGGGGGTTTTTGTTTGTGGCTGAACCTAGGACAGTATCTGGGACACAGTGGGCATGTCTGTTGCCTGGATGAGTCCTTACGTGCTGTCATGGGGAGATAGCCCTGTTTCTTCGCCATCGTGATTGCCTGTCCCAGACCTGACTTGTACTGTGCACTGGTCTATGGGAATTAGTAAAGACACAGATGTTCAGAATTCAGTGGTCCTGTCCTGCCTATCTGTGTTCTCCATCTCTTCTATGCTGGACGCTTTTGTATTTTGGCCGTGCGTGAGGCTTGTGGGATCTTAGTTCCCCAACCAGGGTTTGAACCTGGGCCCCTGGCAGTGAAAGCACCAAATCCTAACCTCTGGACCACCAGGGAATTCCCTTGTGCTGGACACTTTTGACCGACTTGTCTGTTTGAAATAATCTTCATGCCTTGTAAACATAATTCCTGTGTAATGAGACTTCAACCTCTTCGCCTGCGATCTGTTGAGAGGATATCCATCCCCACTTGGAATAAGTCCCTTTTGTCTTAAACCCACTGTGTTTCAGTTTAGGTCTGGCCCCCTGCACTGGCTTCTCTCCCCAGCAGTTCCATTTCTGGAGGCCGGGCCAGCCGTTCTTCCTGGCTCACAGGTTCAGGGACTTACCTTCTTGTCTCCATCCATCCTGTCACTTCTTCCTTGAGAATGCCACCTTCCCTCTGCATCTCTCTCGCCCCCAGCTGGTTTCCCCTGGATCCCTGCTGTGCGTGGCTGGCCTTCCTCTGCAGAGGCTCTCAGGGCTGGTCTGGAAGGAGCAGGGGGCATGGCTGCTGGAATCAGTTTAGGTGCTGCTCCATCACTTTCATTCTTTCTTCAAGCCTCAGTTTCCTCACGTGTCACAGTAGCACCTACTTTATAGGGTGGTTCTTGGGACTGAAGAGAGAATGCACCCAGAACACGTACAGTTAGGTCTGTGATGTCTAAGATCTTTCTGGATACTATGGCAAGACGCTTTTATTAGGAAACCATGGTTTTTTTCCCATATAACAAATTTATAGTATTTATACAGTTACTCAGTTCTTTCACCAGAATATAATATTTCCTTGATTTTTGAGGAAACAATGTGTTTTAAACTAGAGTTTAAAGACATCTTCCTGGGAATTTGCAAGTTATTTTTTAAAACCAAAAGTAAATTTTTAATATTCTTTTAAATAATAATTAAAAAAATCATAGATTCTGTAACATCCAGGTGACCTTCCAGATGAGGCGTGTCATAAAGATTTCCTGCCAGTGTTAGACTGCGCACCCCTTTGATCGTCTGTTGCACACCCCTTTGCTTGTCTGTAGCGAAGGGGAAAGGACAGATGTGGACTTATCGCAGAAATTGTGTTTTGGGGTCAGACGAGGGCTGGAAATTCATGAACAAAGGGTTCACGACAGTCCGTTAGAGAAGAGCGGTGGCTGGCTGGCTGAGGGGATTCCAGCCCCGCGGTGGTAGAGCCCCACAGAGTTGCCAGGAACTCTCCCAGGTATTCTTGTACTTAACACACTGTGTGAGCAGTCGAGCACACGGAACAAAATTGCATCATTATCATACGTCACGTTCAACGAAAGCTGAGCTCTCTTTTATTGGTTTTTATCCAATTTTTACATTGTCTCACCTTACAGTTTTATAAGGGCTAAAGCGTATGAAGCTTTAGATTTGGACAGACTTAAGTAGCATTGTAATGAAAATAATTTAAGGCAAAGCCCAGGAGGAAGGGCATCCAAGAGAGCACTTGCCCCTGAGAGCCGTGACCTGCACATTTCTCAAGTTAGGGAAACTTAAGTTCTGCTTTCTCAGAGAGCCTGCTGCTGTTACACAGTTTAGCTCTTGGTTGTTTTCCTGTTCTGTTCCGTGTTAGTCCAGTGCCCTTCCCTCATCTCCTGTTCCCTCCCCCCCCACCCCCGCTTTACAGGTGAGGAAACTGAGGCCTGGGGAAGATGTCATTTGCCCCAGGTTGGTGGACGTTGGAGTGTCTTTGATTAACTTTGAGTATCAGCTACTTATTAATAATATTCTACTAGACGCCACTTTCTGAGATTTTACTGAGCTCCAAACATTGCATTAAGTTCTCTCTAGAAATTATTTCCCTTAAATGGAATCACCACTCACTTTAGCCCTTATATTTCTAGTTTTGCCAGTGTGGGCACCGAGACTTACTTAGGGAGTTGTTTCGGAGGCTCGTGTAAGGAACTGGGCCAAGGTCAGCTGTGGAGCCAGGGTGTGCCTCCAGCTCCGTGTCACTTGCCCCTGGGGATGGGGCCTGGCCCTGTGACAGCTCTGAGGCATCTCCCTCTTTGGGGAGATGAGGGAAAACTTCAGAGGGAGTGACATTCATGTTAGAAGAAAGAAAAAACCTGTCGTGGTCGTCAAAGCCCATCCTTCCCAGGTGGCTCGAGCGAGGCTGCCCAAGTGGTCGCGGGACTGGAGAGGGGCCAGGCGGGATCTGGACGGTGTGTCAGGAGAGGCGCCGCACAGGTGGACCTCTCTTCTGGGAAGGTGGTCCTGGGAGGAGCAGAGGATGCTGTCAAGAGCTGCTGTGGTGGTCTGGGTGGGAGGAAACCACCCGGCACCTGTGGGGTGGGCAAGGTGGGATGGATCGTGTCATCAAGGACGTTGGGGGCGGGGGTGGTTTCCTGCCCTCTGGTCCAGCACTGTTTCTCCTCTTCCCCCTGCCATGTTGTGCTGACTGCCTGAGGCCCTTCATCAGGGCTCGGGGGACACTAAGCACAAAGCATTTACCTCCTTGTTGTGGACACATTTTCCTCGATTGTGGGGCGTGTCAGCATTGAACTTGTAAATTGCTCGCTAAGCTGTGTATGTAGGCATTGGCTTAGGGGAGAGATGGACGGCCAGAGGTGCTGGGGGTGGGAAGAGTTTTTTTTTTTTTTTTTTGGTTTCAGTTGAATTGGGTCATCAAGTTGATAAAATTGCAGCCATAGTAACACTGGAGATCCTGTGGGTTCTTTTTTCCCAAGTAACATGAGTATATGTTATGTGTGTACTGGACCACGGACCTCAGTTTCCTCTGTCCTCTGTTGCTGCTTTAAAACACTGATGCTTGGAGCCTTTTGATTTCCAGAGTCACTTGAAGTCAACTCATTGCTGAAATGTTGCAAAAAAAATTGCTCAATTCTTTGAGAAAAAGTAAAACTATTCACTTAATAAACCTTTCCTAGAGTTGAGAAAGTTGAGTCATGCTGGTAACGGCAAAATGAACCCATTTCCCCAGTCCCCCTCCCCTCTTCCCAGGGGCTTCCAGAGAGAAGGGTCCACTTCGGCCCCTCTCACAGCTTCCGGAGCGTTATCCTCTCTGCCAAAAATTGCAGCTTCTGTAACTCTGATACTTGTGTACTTGGGATTTCCTTAAAAAGGACCCTTTACGCAGGCTTGAAATTTGGGGGGTAAAGCATAGCTGATATTTACACAAGAGGGTCAGAAATAGCAGGGTAAACATTTCTCAGCAGTGATGACAAAAATCCCAACCATGGTCTCGCCGAGCCATGAACGGAAGCGTTGGGCTCTTCTGGGTGTGGATCTAGTGAGGCTGCAGGCTTCTCTTTGCTCACAGAAGTCTAAAGGAAGTTTGCCTATTTTAGGATTTTCCCCGGAACACGGGGCTAGATGTTTGTCCTCCACTTCATGGAATAGTTATGAGGGGCGATGAGATCATGGGCCAGATCTTAGTAAATGCACAGGAGAAACTGCTGGATGTCCATTTACTTTCTCTTGGGTATTATTTAGTGGACAGGGATGGTAATTTACTATTGCATGTGGTATTTTAGAAGATCTAATCGAGTTTGTGTGTGTGTGTGTGTGTATGTTCCTGTAGTGTAAAATACTTCGAATTTCTAGAAGTAAGATGGAATACTAATTTTTTTTTTTTTTTTGCTTATCACTGTCTGAAAGAATTTCCTTATCCAGGCTGTAACTTCTAGATTCCAGAGAATTTGACTCAGTTGGGAGACATTTGGCATTTCTGTTTCCGAGAACCACAAGGCATGGATTTGTCATGTGGTGGGTGGAAGGTGTTACACCTAATTGCAGTGTGTTACAGACTGATTCCTGGATAGCTTGGCCTCCCATCCTGACCGCTCTGGTCACCTTTCTTTCCACAATCCACACCCACTTCTGGGGGAGAGATAATCGGAGGGACTATCAGCTGACTTGTGGTGGACGTGGGGAGCTTGTCAGATGAGCAGCTGTGAAGCCCAGAAAGGAGCTGCCAAACCTCTGAGGAGGTGACCTGGGCTCTGACTGCCTGACCTGATGTGGAAGATGCTGAGGCCTCTGAGGCTCATGCTGTTAGTGCAAGCTGCCTGAATTTGATTATGATGTGGCCTTGTTTTGTCTTGTTATTATGTGTTGGATGCATAGAAGAATTCAAAGAATAAAAAATGTGACATTTTCCTTGATTTCCTCCAAGTGATACCAGACATGAACAATTTTAGAACATATCCTTATAGACTTTTCCTCTTCACATACCACCATATATTTATCATTGTTAAAAGGAAAAGAGGAGTCCTATATAAATTACTTCTATATAAGTTACTATATAAGTTGCGTCACCACTTGCTGTTTTGTACTTAACTCCGTGTCCTGGATGTCTTCTGTGTCAGTATGTATAGATGTATGTTAACATCAGTGCTGGTGCTGTAGGTTCCCTTATATAGGATATACCATAATTTATTTATTTCACCATTCTCCTATCGCTGGACATCTAAATTGTTCCAAATTTTTGCAGCGATGAACTACACTAGATTGAATGTTCTTGTTCATATTACTTTGTACACACATGCAAACGTTTCTTTGCATGGGTTCAAGGTGCGTAATCCTGGGATGAAAGGGTACATACTTTACAAATTTCAGTAGATGTTGCTAGCTTGTCAAAGATGATTATTTTTTAAATCTGAGTTGGGTGGAGGCCTAGTGATAGGAGACATCTACCCACCTTACAGCTAAACAAGTGCAAGACGAGTGAGGTAAAGTGATGGATCAGAGCAAAATGAACATGTGGGCGGTCCTCTCCCACTCCTGGCTCCAGGTCCTGTGCTCTTTCGGGGGGCTGGAGAAATAGGTGGGGAGATGGGTTCTGTCATCTCTGCCCCCTCTCTCCTCGACTGGGGCTGTTTCCCAGAGACCTGGGAAGACCCTTGGGTGGGCTTCCGTCAATCCGATATTCGTTCCGGGTCTTTGGAAGACCGACACCTAATGCTTGCATTCAGGTGGCTTATGCTGTTTAGTCGGGCAGAGAGGTTGGCGTCACGGAATTCCTAATGTGGGTTGATTTGGTTTCTGGAGCAGAAGGGCAGGGCAGCATGCAGGCTGTGGGGGGCCGGTCAGCCCCTCCCTCCGTCCCTTCTACTGATGTGTTGCTTCTGGCCTGGATCTCTTGCTTGTCAGGAAATTGTGTAGCGTTGGTTAGGAGATCGACCCCTTAGCTGTGACACCTGGGACAAGTAACTCAGCCTCACTGGGCCTCAGTTTGCTCATCTGTACAAAGGTACTAATAGACTCCACTTCCTGTGTGTGAAGAGTAAATGGGTTACTATGTGTGCTGGAAACGGTGTCTGTTACATAGACAGCACCCAATCAAATCTGCTGGCTGTTGTCATCGTTCTTGGCTGTTTTGTGAGAGAGGCTTCAAAGCCCTTCGTCCTATCTTCTTCAAATCCTGTCTCAATTCTTGGTGGGAGAGATCTTTCTAAAACACAGATGTGATGGGTGACTTCCTGCTGCAGTGGCTCCTGGCCTGCAGGATACAGCCTGGCTCTTCTACCTTATCTCGCATCTCTTCCCTGCTTGAACCTTGCGTTTCAGCAGCACTTAGCTGCCCTTGGTTACCAGTCTTTTCATGCCTCAGTCTTCAATTTTGTGCTCTGTCTCCTGGGAGTTCCTCTTTGTTGGCTTCTTTGTCTGCCTCCCTGCTGGTCATCCCGTGGGACACAGCTCAGGCGATCACTTTCCTCTGAGAACACTTCCCTTCCCTCTTCTCTGGTTTCTGGGGACACCTGTGTCCTTACTGTTACCTCTTTGAAATGATCTCTGTCCCCCATCGAAGCCACAACACACCTTTTCTTCTTTGCTTTCCTGCTGCGTCACAGAGCAGACATTGAAGACATATTCGAGCAGCATTCTTGGGGACGTTTTCAGCCCTTTTGGCAAGTGGATTTAGAAATGGGTTGGGGGCAGACTGTAAGTTGAGCTTGCCGATTACTCCATGAAGAGCCGGGCTTTCTGCCATCCTTGCTTGTATGGATGGCGTCATGGTGGTGGTAGCACTGGTCTTGCAGTTGGATAGCCCTGGGCCTGTGTCCGTGCTCTGACTGACACTAGCACTGACCTTGGGCAATTCACATAATCTCTCGAGCCTCAGTTTCCTTATTTGTCTTGAAGAGGTGGTGTTAGTGATGTTCAAGGTCTCTTTGAGTCCTGACCTCCCTGGATGCTAATTTTATGATGTTTTATGACTTGATGCCACAGCGCTAACCTGAGGGGAGTGGTCCCCACTTGTGCATGTGACCCATGAGGTTGCTCAGTGAGGTTTAGTAGAACCACAAGTCCAGGCTTAATCATTATAATCAAGGATTCGATAATAAGGAGAAGCTGTTCCAAACGCTTACCCTCCTGTGGTCAGTTGTTGATTCCCAGAACCAATTAAGGGAAAAAGATCAGCAGATTTTCTTTGGTTAAAACACAGACACACAGACACAGACACACAGACACAGACACACACACAAAGACACACACACACAGACACACACACAGACACACACACACGGACACACACACACACGGACACACACACAGACACACACACACACACGGACACACACACACAGACACACACACACACGGACACACACACACAGACACACAAACACAGACACAGACACACACACACAGACACACATACACAGACACACAGACACAGACACAGACACACGGACACACACAGACACACAGACACACACACACACACGGACACACACACACACAGACATACACAGACACACACACACAGGCACACACACACACAGACACACAGCCCCCAACAACCTCTGAACACTGAGTTTTTTCCCCTGTGTCAGTTGCGTGCTCCCAGCTTGTAGAAGTGAGGTAGAATAGGCACCTTGGCTGGGGCTTTTTGTCTCCTTTTTAAATGAACTCAAGCAGAGTTCAGAGGCGGTTGTTTGAAAGTTCACTCTGGGTTGATGTGAGCACCCGAGAGACTGTATTTTGGGAAACCTAATTTGGGGACTGATGATTAAGGAATATCTATGAGTTAAAATCAGACTGAGGTGGCTTTTCGAGGAGTATATTAGGATCAAAAGCTACAGCCTTCTACTCTTCTGCTGAAATTTGCTTTCCTGACTAGATGTTGGTGTCAGGCTTCCCAGGCAGTGTGATTCAGGAGTGGGGGTTTGGGGGGTCAATCTCTGCTGGGTCCTGGCAGACCCTCCCTCCCCCTTCCCCTATGCACCCTGCATCTTTATTATTTATTTATTTATTTATTTATTTTTTGTGGTACGCGGGCCTCTCATTGTTGTGGCCTCTCCCGTCGTGGAGCACAGGCTCCGGACGCGCAGGCTCAGCGGCCATGGCTCACGGGCCCAGCTGCTCCGCGGCATGTGGGATCTTCCCGGACCGGGGCATGAACCCGTGTCCCCTGCGTCGGCAGGCGGACTCTCAACCACTGCGCCACCAGGGAAGCCCCCTGCATCTTTATTGAGTGCCAGCTGTGCTACAGGCATCCTTCTGTCTGGCAAGGTGGGTATTTTGCCTTGTCCTAACGGAGCTTCCATTCCAGGTAAGGGAGACCGCTGGTAAATGGATAAGCAAATAAGAATTTCAGATAGTGATCAGAGCTATAAAGCAAACCAAATTGGGGAAATGTGGTTGAGAGCCATGGATAGGTTTCTGTTTATTCCGAGAATACCTCTCCCAGGAGGGGACCCTTGCCCTGATGCGGTGAGGCAGCTGTGTGAACAGTGCAGGGCTCCTTGCAAAGGCTCGGGATGAGTTTGGGGTGTTTGTGGGCAGAACGAAGGTCAGTGTGGCTGGTATGACAGGGCGGGGGGTGGAAAATCAAGGTAAAGATGTTGGTGGGGTTAATGTATGTCGGAGCTCAGAGACCCCGGTGAGGAGTTTGGATTTTTTTTCACCAATTGGAAGTATGGCAGATGGTAAGCCTATAGATATCTGATTTGTGTTTTAGAAGTTCACTCTGCTGGCAGGTGAGAGTTTAGTCTCGAGGGAGGAAGGGTTCACAGAGCAGAGAGACCTGGAGAACTGATGGGTTCTGGACCGGGGTGGTAGCAGTGAGTGATGAGATTTATCTTGGGGGTACAGTCAACAGAACCTGCTGATGTATTGGATGTACGTTTCTGGGTTTATCAACTGGGGTGCTGGCAGAGCCTTTCCGGGGTTTGGGAGGACCAGGAAAGGGAGTATAGTGGCCTAGGACCTGGTAAGTCCTTGAGTTGGGGTGTGGTGAAGTGTTTATGAGACCCAGAACTTAGGGGTGGAAGCCTGGGTATCAATAATTATAATAAAGACAGCAGACATTTTTTGAGCAATGTGCCCCGAGCTGTGCTTTGCCTAAACACTTCCCATGATGAACTCATTCAATCCTCACAACAAACATAAATAGCTTTATTATCCTCTTGGGGACACCAGGACGCGGAGATATGACTTAACTTGCTGAAGTCACACAGCTAGTACGAGCAGAGCCGGGGGTCACAGTGGGGCTGTCTGGTTCAGGAGCCAGTATTCCTAACCACTGGACCGTCTTTCCTCAAGGTCACACGCACAGAGACCACGTCTTTGGTGCCAAAAGCCACCTGATGGGCCAGGAGTTGCGTCCACTCTGGGAAAGGGGACAGAGACACCTGTGCCCCCT